AGATATAGTCTAGAATATTGAAGCTAGGATCAGGGAACTTGAGGCATTTGATAAAGAAGAGGATGTCAAGCAGCTCTAGGGTATACATTAGGGGTAGCATGCGAAGGGACAGAAGCCTATCACGATAGTTAGATACATAGTCGTTGGTAATAAATCTGGTAGCCCGGCGTTGGATCCTTTCTAAGATGACAATGTCTTTAATGAACATTGGACGCCACAACTGTGAACCGTACACTAGTTTAGAGCAGACCAGGGAAATATAGAGCAATTTCCTAACCTTGATAGACGATGTAGAGAATGTCCTCCTTATCAGTGACATTTGTCCATAGGCTTTAGAAGAAATGGAGCGATAATGTAAAGACCAAGAGAGACTGTCAGAAATGATGATACCTATGTCACGACAGCTATTAACCTGATGAACTGAATGCCTGCAAAGCTTATAGTGAGAATTAAAGTCAGTCCACCAGTTGGTCTACAAGGCAATATGATGTACATATACATGTAAGTGAAGCTCAGTATAAATCCACAAGGAGGGGCAATAGACCACAACACTCAATGAATATATTTGACAAGTTATATGTGTCCCACAAGACCAGATGGGTACCCAAAATGAAAATGGGAATTTATGAATGGAGCCAAACCCCTTCTGTAAGTTACTATGATACTTACCATTTTACTGAGTAACTGCAGGTTAGACATTGAGAGATGGTATCAACGAGTAAGGGGGAGAGAGAGAAGATGAGATATATAAAAAGAGAGTGTAAAGTAATGAGCATAATAAACCTGTAAAACAAATAGCAGTTGAGAGCAATGCAATCAAGTAAGTATAAGCCAGTGCAATATATGGAGAAGACAATTGTCTATGCTATGAGGAAAGGCTGTGTCTACTCACTGTGTACTGTATACGTACTAAATCAGGATATTGAATTAACAAAGTATTTATAATTGAGAAATTGATAGGAACTGACCTGGAATTGATTGATTGACCAATCTGAGCCATCATCTAACAAAGACATCTGTATATCTTCAACACTACCTCCAGAGAAACACCTGATATAAAGAGAGGGACAGAAAGAGAGAGGGAGAGTGTTTTAAATAGCATAAGAAATCATGTACATGTATACTTGTCAATGAGCTCTACATGTGGAGTGAGAGAAAAGCTTCTATCATCAATATTAAGACTCTAAATAAAACAAAACAATATAAACAATCACACCTAATACACAGAAATCTAATACATGTACTGTACTACTGTATACAAACACATCATCACAACGAAACATAAACACGACCATATGATATTCACACACCCACACAAAATACATATTATAATTAAAAATGAAATTAACTCAAGCACAATGGCTAGCTTTTTTCTACTTCCACAGAGATGACAATTGCATAGTTGCCAACTTTCTGTCACTGAATTCCGGGACAGGAAGCCACACCCATAGAACCACACCCACTAGGATTGATGATCACTTCTTACATCCCTGCAGCAGTTCCTGAACAGCAATTTGAGTTCATTTTTGAGCTTAATTTTAACTTCTGAGCTCACTGTTCATGCAGCTATGATTATAATTGATAATAATTGAATTTTTATTACTGGGAGTGGTCAATTTTACATGGGTGTGACTATAAAAATGGCTGATCCGGTACAGAGAGCAATCCGGGACCCCTCCGGGACAACAGCAGTAAATCCAGGACTGTCCCGGACATTCCGGGACGGTTGGCAACTATGCAATTGAAATTTTTGACACATTGCAAACAACATGAATCACAGATTATATACATGTACCTCTTTGTGATATTTATCCAATATTGATTTCACAACGTAATGAGGGTCTCTCTTCATAACCGGATCATCACATGATTCAGTGAGTTCACTCAACAATGACGGAATCTAACAAATGAATGAATTACAGTAACAATAATCAGGAGGTTTAATTTTAACCTTCTCTTTTCCTACTAAATGAGTTGCAATGCCCCCATGAAGTACGTCACGCCCTTTCAATCTGTGACCTACCCAAGCCAATATTAAAGTAAATGAGTTTATGTGCTAAATCCATGCAATACATGTACATGTATATCCACACAATAACATTGCTGAAACAATTTATTAGATCTATTGCCACCCGTTAACAGTAAAGCAATGAGTTTGCAAGATATAAACGTAAGATACTGAGTAAACTTTGAAATGCACAAATAAGAAAATATTTATATTTACCGTAAACGTAAAAATTTTCGTGGGGTAAATTTTCGTGTTTTTTGGAATTTTTTCATAAAAATTAATTTTCGTGCATTAAAAATTTCATGGTAGGCATTACCCAATCTTATTAATTTATTGACCATGTGGCGACATGGCCACACCTGCAGAGATGTCTACCTCATGTGTACCTTCACTATCTTTTCAGTTTTCAGGGGTTACCATGTATATAAGGAGATCTGGGAAGCAGAGATGCTAAAGTGTGAAAGAGAGACGAGTAATATTCATGGTCAGTACGTGTGGCTATCACGTGGCCTATTGAATTAACTACCACACCCTTGCATTAAAATTTCGTGGATCTGTGTGGCCCACGAAAAAAACGAAAATTTATCCGCCACAAAAATTTTTTACGTTTACGGTACATCAAAACACATTATTCTCATACATGTACATTGTACATTGGTGTCAGTGTTTCATATGCAGAAAGTGCTAACAACATTTAGTATCTCATTACTACTGACCAGTTAAAGCCAAATACATCCCAAGTTCTCCTTTCAGTCTTGGTAAGAAATAGCCTCTGCCAACATCAGGAAAGAAACCTGAAAAGAAGTTCTACATACATGTACATGCATATAAAGGCACATGTACATGTACATGCACATCTACATTCAATCTTTATGAATAGCACTAAGGTCCTCTCTCTTCTCTCTCTCTCTTCTTTCTCCCTCCCTCTCTCTCTTTCATTTACCTATTGCTGTTTCAGGCATTGCAAATGTTGTCGTCTCAGTAGCAACACGATATGGAGAATGAACAGAGGTTCCAATACCCTAATGTGTATCGGTACATTTATAATTGACACATAAACATATTTTATAATAATTATTATACTTACTCCTCCCATTGTGATCCCACTAATGAGAGCAATGTATGGCTTGTGTACTGTACCAGTCAAATAATTCAACTGGTATTCACGGAAAAAGAACGTCTAAGCCAATGGGGAACCAGTTTGACCAGCCTCTGTGACTCCTGTATATCAAACTGGTTAGAAGAACTGGTAAATCGAGTCTTACTTCTTATGTCACCTCCTGCACAGAAAGCCTTTTCACTTCCTCTGACGAGCATAAAGTTGATAGAGTCGTCAGGTACAACCGACTATGATGAGAAAGGTAGAATATGAAATGGTAATAGAAGAGAGAGAGAGAGAGAGAGACCTTCATATCAGTTGTTAGTAGGTCAATCATATTGCCACTCAAAGCATTGTGTTTTTGGTTTATTCAAAGTCATCAAGCGATAGCCGGACTCCCCTGATGGACCCTTAACAGTTTCAAACAATACTTCAGACTGTGTAGTATAACAGGATATGTAATATTATAGAATAAATGAATCATTACTTCATGAATCATTGTTTTAGCTGAGAGAAGAGGTCTGGAATTAAATAATAATCCAAAGACACGGGAGCAGTTTCTACCTGTGAAAGACTACTAGGTGTACTACTACACGCCCAAGAGTTGGAACATGGACCAGTCCTGATACAGGCCTGAATCATTACTGATGATCGAGCCTGGACCGTGGATTTGGGGCAATGTCCTGATCCGATATTGACGAATCAGCCACGATTTATGCTGGTGCCAGACCTGATCCGACAACGATAACGATATTCATTAAGCCTCATTATGACGTACTTCCTGTTATGCTTAATTAATACTTAATTATTTTCATTATTAATTTAAAATGATTTGGAATTATTATTAAAACAAAAAAAAGATTATAATTGTTTTCTTTATCATAGTCTACCAATGTTCCACAAGTAAGACACTTCATATTTTGTAACTTAAGACACCTAAAGAGCCATAAATTAAGAAGGCACTAAAATAATAAACTTACATTACTGAGAAATTAATTTCCCAAAATCTCCAACATTAATGAACTCTGGGGTTCCATGTAGTGAAGATCTTTCAAAGGTATCTTGTAACACATAGTCCTACAAAGCTTAGATCCATAACATAACTATAATGAGGCATAAATTCTACATAAGCAAAGGAACTACATACCTTCCTTAACCAGCATGATGAAGGCAGGTTCACAAAAAAATTCAATGCTATTTGAAGTGAACTATAATGACAAATGATGATAATAAATTAAAACACTATGATTAAACTGACCTTAACAAGAGCTTTAAACAAGAAAGTTTCAGTTCATCACAACCTGAATAATGAATTTAGCTTTTCACATGAAATTAAACAAACCTAAGATATTCTTGTCTTGAAACTTAGTGAGATAAGGTAACTATAGAATGTATACTAGTGGCCTTGCTAAATTAATAAATTAATATGAATTAAAGAGAGCACCTACTATA